GAGACAGAAGAACTTTGTAGTAAATAATATTTAATAGAAGTTAAAAACAAAAATTAAAAACAAACAAAAACAACCCGCCCATCCTCTCCTTAAGAACAATCAGGAGCTGGAGACTTCTTGGAAAAGTAAAGCCTCTCTTCTATCAACCTCTCGGCAGCTAAACATCTGGCTTTTCACTCCCACCGCTTCTCCTTCCATGGGCTGCCTTAGAACTTTGTAGTAAATAATATTTAATAGAAGTTAAAAACAAAAATTAAAAACAAACAAAAACAACCCGCCCATCCTCTCCTTAAGAACAATCAGGAGCTGGAGACTTCTTGGAAAAGTAAAGCCTCTCTTCTATCAACCTCTCGGCAGCTAAACATCTGGCTTTTCACTCCCACCGCTTCTCCTTCCATGGGCTGCCTTTTCTTGGAGAAGGGTTGGGTTTTAGTCATTGTTATAGGCTAGAGAGACGTTTGTTCCCTAACACCAGGCCTTTTCCATCTCCTGCTATCAGCCTACTGGTATCAAGAGGAGCTGTGCTGCTGACTTTGTGTCAGGAACCTTTTCCCATGATGACATCCCAGCCCCTTCCCTCCCCCAAGCAGTTGATGCAAGAGCAAGTCCGCTTAAAAAAACAAAAATAATTCCGCCTTAAGAGCAAGTCCACCTTAAAAAAATCCACCTTAAAAGAAAGTCCACCTTAAGAATTGCCTTCCTCCCCCCATTTGTTTGTATACAGGACCCAACGGTGCTAGGGTCACCCCTAGAATTGCCCGCAGCGGCGCCCGTGATCCGATGCTCTGCAAGGGCTCTGCGGCTAGTCCTTCGCTGGCCGGGAGCGATCCGGGGAGCAGCCGCCACTGCCCAGCCGCAAAAAAAAGATCTGCGGACTCCCAGCAGTGGCGCAGGCGCGGTGAGCACGGTGGGGGAGGTAGAGGGAGACCGAACGGAGACGGCAGCAGGAGCTTAGAGCAAAGAAGCGGAGCTGACACATTTAAAGACACAGCCTGCAGCAGCAGCCAGCTGTGAGTCACCCTGACCGGAGGAGGCGCACAGAGAGGCATTGGACCATTAATTTCTTCGGAGAGTCAGCATCACATCTCGTGAGGTGACCTGTGAGCAGCGAGATGGTTCCATAGAGCCAGACAATAGCCTTTGCTTGAGAATGCATTCCTGATAACAGGATTTACACTGGCAGCTTCAGTAACCCTTGTTACAGGATATTCTATCAGTTGATCCTAGTTTTATTACTTGCAACGCCAAAATACAGATGGGCTTTTCCCAATGAATTTTACTATTTTAATCGATTAATTTATGAAACCAGATTATCTGTTTCAGTAATTCCAGAGAAGTTCTGAAAACTCCCTTCTCCCCTCCTAAAGTTTCAGCCAGCTCTGTCTTCTCACCGGGTCAGGCCATAGAGATCTACCCCTCACAGTGTTAATTACAGGATATAATTAATTACAGCCTTTAGTTGTCTATAAAGCACCCACTACACATTGGATGCTGGATAATAATAATCAGAACCGCAACAACAATCATACACATATTCCAAGCACAATACTATGGATCCCATGACGATGCCTCACAAACATTTTCAATACTGATTGTGCAAAGGTCAAGGGGAATGATGTGTAGCCGTTCCAAGGCTTTGTATGTGATTTTAAAGGGATGCAGAAATGTATTGTAACTAACTGTTTTAAGGATGGGACATGAAAATATTATTAGACCAGCTGCTATTTCATCCTGTTATGACTAAGTGGTAACATGATGGTTTCATTGCCTGCGAGAGTAGATTTGTGATAGGATACCGTAGTCAATGAAAGATGAGAACATTTCAGACTGGTCTACACTATAGTGGAAGGTTGAATTAAAATATGCAACTCCAGCTATGTTAATTATGTAGCTGGAGTCAACATATCTTAAATTGCATTTCTACACTGTCCACACAATGGAAGGGTGACAGTAGCAAACGTTCCCTTATTCCTCCCTTACTCCTCATGAGGAGCAGGAATACTTGAGCCAGTGGGGCGTTCTGAGTTAGATTTAGTGGCTCATTACTAGAGCCTCTAAATTGATCTTCCGCATAGTGTAGATGTGCTCCTACTGGAGTCAACATATCTTAAATTGCATTTCTACACTGTCCACACAATGGAAGGGTGACAGTAGCAAACGTTCCCTTATTCCTCCCTTACTCCTCATGAGGAGCAGGAATACTTGAGCCAGTGGGGCGTTCTGAGTTAGATTTAGTGGCTCATTACTAGAGCCTCTAAATTGATCTTCCGCATAGTGTAGATGTGCTCCTAGAGTCTGTCACATTCTTTATACTGAATTTGACTTACCTGAGCCATCTAGATGCAGTCTTATTGTACATAAATCATGGGAAAAAATGAAAACCCAGGTGAAAAAACAGCAGGATTTTATAATTTATAACTTGTGTTTCTGGACATCCACAAATGTTATTAAATGTATAATGTAGTTTACAAGGGGACAATAATAATTCTTTTAAAATGTAATCTTGAAAATAATTTGCAGTGAGGCAGCTTTTCAGCCAGAATGTATGTTACATAATGATTTCAAGATTGCCAAACCCAAGTGTTCAGAATCATGAGGCAGACCCCCAAATCATGAGATGGTTTAATTATAATGCATGCAGAATTCTTTTTTATTTGTTTTCTGAATATTTACATGCACTGGATTCACTTTTTCAAGCTCTCTTTTGCCACTATGAGAAACTTACTTGAAAAAGTAAGCAGCCAAGCACATTGAAATTTTCATCCAATCTCTTCAGCTTTAAGAAAAAATAACAAATATCATACGATTCATGATAAGATTATGAGAGTTGACAACACTGTGATTTACAATCCAGAGAGGAATTTCTTCATTTACAACTAAAATGGAACCATCTGTGATGCAGAACATAGTAGCAATTTAGTATTGCAAAAATTCAAGTCAAGAGGTTAGGAAGTGGAGACTCTGTTATCAGTTTGAAACTACACAGAAAATTTTTATATAGGCAAAATGTCATTACCCAAACTAGAAATTAGCCAGCACATCACAGATAACATGTTGGAAAGAAAAAGTATGGCACGATCCTTAATTACCACAGGTGATTAGGTCTTTAGTTGTATGGCTCATTGGAAAGACTCATTCAGATACACTACAAAGAAAATAAAGAAGCTAATACAAATGCTACATAAAAGAAAACTGGAAATGTTATAGTGTGAATCTGAACTGTCTGTGTCTACTTATATCTTTCTTTGTTGGTGCTCTTGAAATTAATTAAAAACTTTAATTGGCCTCTCTTTTTTCTCTGGGTTTGACAAATCATTTTGGAACCTCCGTTTTAATGAAGCCCAGAGAGAGAAACCAGCAATAATGATTTTTGTGTGTGTGTGTGTATGTGTGTGTGTGTGTGTGTGTGTGTGTGTGTGTGTGTAGATTCTTAGCAACCTTGGATTTGATTTTAAAACAAACTTTGGGAATCCTAAGTGGTTCCTAACTGATAATAACAGTTTCAGTATATTATTAATTAAATTGTACTGGTACTCAACCATTGTATTCACGCATATCAAGCCATCCTCTCTATCCTAAGAGCTTAACATTTATGGAAATTAAATGACCAGCACTTGCCTTCAAAACTTAAGAAAGTGAAGGTTGTCCTGAGGAACCACAGTACACAAACTGTGGGATGTACCATTTCTGAAACTATTTTTTTCAAATTATTGTCTCTTCCCAATACAAATTTTAATATTAATCCTAATATCAATGTTTTAAAAAACTAATATTAAGGCGGAATATTTGCCAGATTTATAAGGAAGGAGTAAATGAGCTGAACATATGGAGCTTGACAGAGCATCAATTTAGAAAGAGGAAAGGAGATAAGAGACAGTAGACACCAAAGAGGAAAAGGAAAAAATGGTAGAAGGGAGGGCAGCTAAAAGTAGTGGGATGAAAGACAAAATTTAGTTGAATTTCATGAATAACTTCCTGAAAGTGAAATATGTTAGTCTTGTCCATCTCAGGTGTCAATTATTAGGCTAGATTCTGATCACAGTTACATCAGGATAAAGCCCAGACTTCAGTAGAATTGCACTGGATTCACATCAGGATACCCAAAATCAAATGGCAGCTCTCTGTTCTTAAGCACTATTCATGGAGAATTTTGAATGAGCAAACTTTAATCTTTGGTGAAAAGCATGGGCGGCTGGTGGGCTAGGCAGGAGAAGGCATTGACTTCCTAAATTGTCAGCCTGACCCTGACCACACTTTGCCCCCAGAACGCTTACTGTATGGTGTACTAGGACCAGAGTGTTGCTGCTCTTGAGTGCCTGCCCTCCCCCATGCTGTGCCGAGGAGGCTGTGGCCCCATATCTTCCTCCTTCCCTCCTTGTGCTCTGGTGATGGAGAGGCGGGGGGAGGAGGGGCACAGCATGCTGCCCTGCCTCCATGGTATTGTGGAAGGGTGTGGGGAGGGGGAGGGAGCTTGTCTCCCATGTAGAACAGGACCTTGGCAGAAGGGGCAGGGCTGACGGTAGGGCTGGGGACTAGCCTCCCCCAGATCTACCTTCACTCATTGACCATGATGACAAATCTTAGAGGGGACTGTGTTAGTCTGTATCTGCAAAAACAGGGAGGAATCACCTTCATCAGATCCACTGGAGTGGAAATTATAGGGTGTAATGGATAGGAGTAGTTCTTACCGGCACCTAGTAACTAAGGGGTTAAACTCAGGTAGCTAGCAAGGTGTTGGCCAGAAGGCCGGTAGAACCCTCAGATAGAGGGTTGAAATTTGAATTGGATATAGGTCCCTTGCCTCCTTTCTTTGTATGGGAGAGAGAAACCAGGAGTTGAGACACACAGAATGATTTAAACCCAGGCAGGACTGCCATGTCTCCAAGGAATTCAGGATATGGGAGAGGACTGAACAAAGAGAAAGTTAG